GGGGGGGGGGGGGGGAATTCTGGGAGTTGAAGTCCGCACAGCTTCAAGATGCCAAGGTTGGGAAACACTGCTCTAAAAGGATACTTCCCAGATACTTCCTACATGAAGTGACGCTAAGGATGGGAATACAAATCTATTAAGCTCAGTAGAAACCCCATGACATGAATGGGAGGTTGCCTGAGCAGAAAAGAAAGTTTTCTTTCAGGCAGAACTCAAATAATTGATGGAACTCCCTGGTGAAGGAGTTGGTGGTAATCACTGCTTTAATCGACCAGAGGAAAAGGTTCTGAATGCAGCAACTGGGAAGCAAGAACTGGAAATAACTAATGCTCTCAAATGTCCATTTTCTGGAAGCATCTACCTAACATTTCCTATGTTTAACTTTTCCTAAGAATAGGAATCAATTGACTTTCACTTTGATCCAGCACACTTCTTCTAACATTCTCCAGTCAAGCAAATCCATTAATCCACACCATTTACTTCTCAGCACAATTTGGTTTTACTTTTTTTTTCTCCACCAAAAAAAAAAAAAAAGTCAGAAACTCTTTCAAAGCCTTTGTTGACTCTGGATTGTGTGCATTTAGCACATTCAATGGCTAGTGGGAGAGGAGATATTCATACAGCTGGACTCAAAGCACACATTCTAAGCAATCATGATTCAGTTACAGCACATTGGGTCCTTTGCCTATTGAACTGTCCAAACCTGGGAGGGGGGGGGAAACATTCAGCCCCCAGTCTAAATCATTTCAGTTTGGCTACTCTGAGTTTGAAAGAAAGTATAATAAAAACACCTTAATAACATATGGACACTACAGAGGCAAAGCCGTCTGCTTCCACATTCTTATCTCCTACGTCCTCTTTCCAAAGCGCTGTTAAACATGTTGTGGAAAAGTGATAACAACATTACACATCAATTCATTTACTCCAAAGGTTAGAAATGGTTACTTAACAATGATATCAAAAAAGTCAGCTAGAAAGTAATTTTTACATCATCAATACTGTAATGCAGTAGGCAGGCAGGTTCTCGGGTCATCTTAATTTGGTTTGAGCACAGCTTTGTCTGCAGGACCAGTGCTAGTCCCTTGGATACACCGATGAAGAATGAAGTAAAAGAAGAGAACATTTTACTTCCCTTTCTGGTTGATCTTGGAGCTGCTTCAGAATGCCAGGCTGTTGTGGGTTTGTTCTAGGACTGCAGGGAAACCACAGTCCATTCTCTGCAATACTCTACTTTCTCCCCCACCTGTTCTATTCTGTAATACCAGAGATTAGTGGACTGATACAAATGGGGTACAAGGAAGGGAGGGAGGAAGAGGCATACTTTATAAGGCATCAAAATACACTTAAGACTGTTATCACTCCAAAAATTCCTCATCTGGTGTTCTTAACCTGGAACATAAGCTAGTAAAAGTTCACTTTCTCTTGAACTGGGGTGCGCAACCTTAGCATAAGCCACTTCATATCACATGGGGAAAAAATATCTAACTATATTACGATTTAGACCACCTGATTCAGGACTAGAAGATACAAAGGTGGGAGAAAATTAGTAGAAGAATGATACATAGAGTTTCAGAATGGCTTACCAGAGGTTCTTATGGAATAATCCATACTGCATAAAACTCTCATGGAAGGAAAGCCAACCTGCATAAAAATGTTCACTACCTCTGAACTCAAAGGATTTCCCCCCAGATTTTTATACTAGCTATACCCATGCTGGGGTATTGGAGCTAGTATTTATACTAGCTATACCATGCTGGGGAATTCTGGGAGTTGAAGTCCACCCATCTTAAAGTTGCCAAGGTTGAGAAACACTGCTTTAGATGCGCTATCCAAGGTGGCCTTGTTTCTGGGTCTGCAGGGAGCTGTCCATGGTCCTGATAACCTAGCCTGCACAGTATTTGGGTTGAAAGCATGCACGAATCTCTCTTACCTTGAACTGGACCTTTAACTCCTTAAACCCAATAAGGTTGAAGAGGAGGGTATATGTATGAGTCCCAGTTCTACTTACAGAAACACTCAGCAGGGTTGGCCATGGCAAATATGAAATAAAAGGTCTGGACATGTGGAATGTTGGCTGTTTGCTACTGAGCAGATGTTGCAGGATTCCTGATACATGTTCTTTTAAAATTTCACAGTTATCTGTGTTGAAGCTTTCACACTTTATTCAGTATTGTGGGTTTTTGTTGTTTTTTTTAGAAAAGGAAAGACAAAAAAGGAAGTACAAGAAATACAAACAGATTTCAGTGCTTATGAAACATTAGAATTCTGCAAATGTTAGAAAATGATGCAGTTAGAATTGGTTGGTTGATATTTCATATTGCTGGTCCATTTCTGCAGATGTCCTGTCCCTTTTCTGTGTGTCCCTTCTTCTCATGTGAATTCATATGACAAATTAAGGGGCTCTCACACATTATATAAAAAATAGTTTCGTCATGACTTTTTTTTTCAGACTCGTTTAGTCCGGTACTATGCTGAAGATTGTAGTGATTGTCCCAATACAGCTGAAGGGCACCAAGTTGGGGAAGCTGTTTTACTGAGAAAAGCAGCAACTGCAAAGTTTCACCAGCCAAAGTGATAACAGCTACAGAGGAGAACCTGGCGAGATACAAGGCTGCAGCGGATTTGGAGGACTGCTGTTAGAATAACATTGCCCAGGTTTGGTACAACTTTTCTTCCAGCATCCAAGCCCATGCATTTTCATATTTGTAAACAAACTTTTTTCAAACTCAAAAACGATCTAGGTGCACTGCACTGCTTACAGAAATTCAGCACTAATAGCGCTTTTGATTAAGTATTCAAATACCTAGTTTAATTGCACTGGGGTTATAGGGGACAGATTATTTTTGCCCGATCTGTTTTAAAACTGACTGGGAAATTGAAATCTATCTATCTATCTATCTATCTATCTATCTATCTATCTATCTATCCATCCATCCATCCATCCATCCATCCATCCATCCACCCATCCATCCATCTTGGAAGAAGGCAAGGACAAATCACTTCCGTAATCCTGCCAATAAAACTGAATGAATAGTTGCAATCACCTGAAGCCAAACTCAGCTTGAAGGCGTCAGATGTTGTCACTCCACAACATTCACAAATGAGATCACACATTACTTTCAAAATCTCCTTAGTGACTTGTCCTGAAGCACTGACCTGGAATGGAGAATGGCCTCGACTTTTGAGAAGGTCCATGCAAAACTTGGTTGGCTGCACAGAACCAGATGTTTGGTTCTTGGTGTCTTAGCCAATGTGTCTGGTACAGTCACACAGGAATGGAGAATCCATGGCTCTTCAGATGTGACTAAACTATAACTTCTAGTTGTTTTCCCAATAACTATGCTGACTAAGGCTGCTAGGAGCTGTAGTTCAGCAACATCTGAGGGTTTATAAACCCCCCACTTCTGATGTAATGGAATAAGAAAGTATTAAATTGACAAAAAGCAGGTGGAAACTCATTCTCAATCCTTTTCTATCCCTCTCTGAATGGCTATTTGAACACTGTACTTATATATTGAGCAATACATTTATGAGATATGTATTCTCCAAAGAGTTACAAAGAAGAATAGATTTTTCTCATGTACGGAGCATATATCACATTACAGATGATATCACAGGTTCTTCAATTCTCCTGGTGGCCAAGAAAGTTATAGTATGACATTTCACACAACATTAGTAAGTGCAACTGAGCTGAGAAGAAAAATCAGGCTATCCCAGTGACAAAATATCATTGTAGGAGTGCTGGGAAAATACTGTGTCTGAACAAAACAGCTACTGACTTCAATAATCTCCTATAGCAATGGAGAACTAACAGGGATATTAAGATTAACTGGAATCAACAGACCAACTGGACATGACCAATGTTTATTTCAAGAGTTTTTCCTCCCTCTCTGGAGAATGAATCTTCCGAGAGAATTGTCCTCTCCCCAGATACTGTTCATTGTTGTCTGGAGAATAGGTTCTTAAAGGCATTATTGTAATTCTTGTTGAACGCTGTATAGATCAAAGGGTTGAAAAAAGAATTGGAGTACCCAAGCCAAAGAAAAATGCTTTTGCAGATCGGTGGGATGTCACAGGAGCAGAGGGAGCTGATGAGTTCAGTGACAAAGAAGGGAATCCAGCAAAGCACAAAGACGCCAATGAGGATGCCCACCATGAGGGCAGCTTTCCTCTCCTTCTGCTCCCTCCAAGTGTCTCCGTCCGTTTGGAACGTCACCGTGGCATGGCGGACCGTGAACACCATCTGTGGATGCTGGGAAGCCTCCTTGACCTGCAGAATAGAAATATAATCTTTAGATTGTTTTGCTGGCCACTTTGCTCTGTTGCTGAGGGTGACAGCATGTTCTGGCTGGAGGGTAAGATTCATCTGGAGCAAGCTCTAATGGCCTGTGGGAACTCAAGGAAGGGCTGTTCATCGTTGAACACCTTCTCTCAGTTGCTCTGAGCAAACAAGAACGTGGGGGCACCTTGTTGTACATGGGCAATGCATATTGATGCTACTAGCATGTGTCTGGAGCAACACCTCCAACCCCGGCTCTCTTTTATTTCTAAATGGGGGGAGCAGGGAGCCTGAAACGTGGTTGAATGAGGCTAAATGATGGTTGTCCTCCCGCTATCTTTGGGGCTCTTTTATGTTTTTATGTTTTTATGTTTGTTATTTACATCTGATGTTTTTTATATTGTGATACGGTTTTAATCGTTATTCTGCTTGTAAGTGACATGAGCCATGATTCAGAGTCTGACTCTGAATCTGATTCGGACAATGTTGCTCCAGCTGAGCCTGTGGAATGTCAATCTCAGGAATCATTAAGCCATGATGCAGCTGAGGCTGATCAGCCACACGACTCCCAAGCCCCAGATCCAGACACATGCAGAGGTGAGCAGAGCAACGTCAATCAAGGAGACTCTCGCAAGGCAAAGGGTGAGGCCTGAATAATTGCAGCCATCTGCCAGCAGAGAGAATTATGTAGCTTGCTTTGCCTTCAGTCTCTGTTGGAAAACCTAGCTCTTGTGCGTATCTTCTTCTTGAATTCCTGACTTCTGGACTGGCTGACTACCTGATTTGGCTTTGTGATTTTGGCCCTGTAACTAGACTACTCTTTTGCTTCTTGGACTACAAACGGTACTTTACTTTGCTAGGTCTTTGTTTGCAACTTGTCTGCTGTTATCTGCTTCTGCTCCTTGGCAACTGTGTCTGCTCCCTTGAAACAGAACAGTAAGCCACCCAGAGGCTTACTTCTTGTGAGATGGGCGGCCAAATAAATCTGCTAAATGCATAAATAAATGAATAAAATGCTCTCTAATCCATGCAGATTAGTCCCATCTTTTTTGCCAGCAGCTGGAGCATTTTTGTCTTGGGAGAAGTGGAGAATCAGCAAGGGCTACAAGGTTCTGTGAGTGATGAACGTGGTGATGGAGGGCAGAAAAGTCAGTAGCCCGTCCCTTTGCAAGATCCTTGTCATGCCAAACTTCCTGCAGGAGCAGGAACAAATGCAGTACACACACAGGAAGTTCAGTGTGTTCACGAGACACACTGGCTTAGAATTTACATGAATGATTTTATATCTTTATTCCCTAAGACACATTCTTAGAATATTAACTCTAATGTCCATATAATATTTATTATAATATTTACTGGCTTAAACCAGGAACCATAGCTCACAATGAGGAGCCAGCAAAATAATGAATTGGGGCATTCAAACAAAAATTTTTGGCTCCTGATTCTCTGGTCCAGCATGCTCCCTCTTAATTATATGTCAATCAATTCTGGTAATAACAAAAGAATGATTTATTGAATGTACACTGAGGCGAGCTATCAAGCGATGCTTACATAGTTTTAGTTGATACATTAACAGCAAATATATCATAACTGCCTCTCTGTTTGTCTTTAAATTCTCCATTTGATCCTTTCGTTTCTGCAAAAACATCTCTGGCACCAGAGTGAAATGCCCCACAGCTCTTCTGACTCTGTGGCGAGGGACTTCTGGGGTCTCTTCCCTTCAAACAGCAGGATTGCCTCTCCAGAACTGAAGGGGTGGGGAGGAAGCATTCGGCCCCCAGAGATTAAATGATAGCAACTTCTTCCTACAGAAAACCAAACGGAGTTGCTATGGGAAAGTAGAGAGATGCTACCTGGTGGTCAGAAGGGCGTGTTTATTCTAGGAAGTCTGGATCCAATGGACTGCAACGTCAAACAACAGAAAGCTGTAGCACGAGCAACATCACCCCAGTTCCTGTGATCCGCTGGAAAAATCCCAGAATGCCTCCACTATCATTTATATTTCTTTTTCCACCATCCGAATGAACCCTCTATTCCTTACAATGCAAATGCAGTTTCTTTGTGATGGTGTATTGTATTCATGACCTCCAGTAGCTCAGGGCAGCCTACCGAGCCCTCCTGCCTCTAATTTTCCTCTCTGCAACATGTTTGGGCTGAGACTGACTGGCTGGGAGTCATCTAGGGAGCTTGGACACACACTATGAGTTGGGTCTCCCCAGCCCTTGGTACAAATCACAATTCCCCCAGGCTATCATCTCCCACCCCCAGATGTGCAGAGTCTGCATGGGGAGGGCAGCCCCCCCACCTCTCATTCCCTGCACAGCTTCTCCCAACCCTCCCCCAAGCTCTGCAAAGCCCCTCCTAGATCACCAGGCACCAAGCCTGCATCCTCAAACCGGCTTGCGATATTATTTGGTTCCATCACCCGGGGATGGAGACTGTCAAGGCTTGCTGCGACACAACACCCCACATGTCAGAGATGCTAATTCAACATTAAATCCCAGCCACAGGACTTTCGGCTTGTGGCCTGATGCCGTGAGATTAAAGTCTTCAATGTCACAGTTGCCTTGGTAGGGGCAGGTCCCAACTTTTGCCAAGAGCTGAGAGGCTGAGAGATGCTCTTGGCAGCAAACCAGTATATCAATGTGGACATTGGGCCAAAACGAGGATCAGCGAGGATCAACCAATACATTCCAAGTAAAAGGATATTTCCAGTGGGATTTCTGGGTACAAACACAGAGCTAATCAGAGATTTATGGAGTTCATATGCAGAGACACTGAAAGGGGGTAAGCTTTGAAAATTACCAAAATGCTAATTAGCTACCAAAATAAAGAGGCTTTCTTATAGTATAATACTGAGATGCTCAATCTGGCCAGAATGAAACAAACAAACAAACAAACAAAGATGAACTTAAGGTCAGATAAGACCAAATAAGATATGGGAGGTTTTTCTATTCAACTGAAAAGTATATCAAGACCGGCTATCTTTCCTCCTGCAGGAGAAAGAAAGGGTGATTTGGAATGGATAACCCATTACCAACCAAAGATTAAGCAGTCCCAGCCCTGTCAATCTCCGTCTCCAAAGTAGCTTTTCAATTAAGAAAAAGGAAGGAAGGGAAATGGATTAGTTTCTAACATTGAGCTTGTTCCAAGAAGCTTATGCCCACGTTACCCTTGCCATGCTGAACACGAATATGCGGCCAGAAGCCTCAACTTCATCACACCCACACCCACAAATGGTAGAAATAGTCATTGTTTGGGGGGATAAATCATTTATTGGTTTACAACCAAGGACCTATTTCCAGACATGAGATCCACACACCATCATGTACAGGGAAACTGAAGACTCTCATTTGGCTGGTAGCAGTCCCCCCACCATCCCCAGGAGCTGCAGCTGAGTAATTATTTCCTCTGAACGGCTTAAAAGCAGACTCCAGTTCCTCCAAATTCCAAAGCGAATGTGGAGAAGCGTAACGTTCAAAAGCTCGCCCCAATGCTTCGCAGTTGATACCGACCCCTTTCTGGAAGGAACATCTTGCCCCCTTATTGATTCTGTTATTCTCACACTGCAGATTCGGCTCAGGATATTATACAAACCCTGCCCTGCAGTTTACCCGACTGCAGGCAGAAAAGTGACACTGGGCGAGTTGCTGGCAACAAGCCTGCAGACTCGAGTAGCTCTCCTGGTCACCCAACAGAGGTGGTTTACCATTGCCTTCCTCCCATGGTGTTTTTACCCACCGACCTGGAATTTCCTAGTGGTCTCCCATCGGTGCACTCTCCAGATCAAATCCTCCAGCTCAGTGAGGTGAGGTTCTCCTGCCTCTTTGCACCCCTCTTCCCTGCCATTCAGATGACCTGAGAACAACTCTGTCCTTGCTGGATCCCATTTAGTAGTTTCCATGGGCCACTTGTGATTGTTTGACAAGACACACACACACACACACCCAGCTATGTAGGAACACATAGGCATACACCACCCTGCCACAGGGTGTAAACAGTGAGCATGTGCTTGTCAATTCCATACAGCTTGGGGCAGGCAGAACAGCTGTTTACACAATCACCCCATGCAAGAAATAAAGGGAGTCTGTTGAAAGGCCAAAAGCAAACAGAATGAATGGAAACAGAGGCAAATGCAGAGAGATGTTTGGGTAGACTGGCTTAGGAAACCACGGCAGGAAGGGTCTCATGAAGGGGCAATAAGTGCCTACCCTTTGGGAGCGTTAAAAATGTCCTACTTTTAGAGGATGAAACCTCTACCCTAGGACTGCTCTTATGAAGCACAGGAGAGTTGAAGTTCAGGGGCATCACATATATGCGGTGTGTAATAGCCCCAAAAGTAAACCTGGGAGGGATGTAATCCCCCCAAAATATCCAGGGAGGACAGGAAAAAGCTGCTGTCTGAAAATATGGGGAATAACTAATAGATGGTGCTGACAACATTGGTCTGGTTGAATTAAAGCAGCTTCCTGGTCTTGGGGAGAAAGTCAGGAGAAACTTAATCTGCTGATTTCTGCCTGCTGCTTTGAACATTGTCTTTCTCTTCCAAAGCTGGCACAAAGCAATAAGATTGATCTGTGCAGGTTCTCCTTCAGTGGAACCTGTTTTTTTTTTCAAACTGCTGGTTAAGGTTCTAGTTCAGATGATGGGCAAACACCAACCAACTAGTAGTTGATTCCACCACTTCTGGAAATCGGATTAAAGACCACACAGGTACAAAGCCTGAGTGCCGATTTTGATTTCAAATTATTTGGGAGTGTTGAACTTTTGATCCCAATCCTGAAAACAAAAGAGGATTGAGAGAATATTAGAATATTAGGTATTGAGAGTATTAGGTATGTTCACCTCCTTGAGTTATATACTATATATAAAAAAGATGGGATAGAGGAAGAGGAGACAAGAAGAATAAGTAGAGGAGGAGGAGGAGGAGGAGGAGGAGGAGGAGAAGAAGAAGAAGAAGAAGAAGAAGAAGAAGAAGAAGAAGACGAAGAAGTTTGGTGGTGGTTACAGCACCAGGCTAGAAACCGGGAGACTGGGAGTTCTAGTCCCACCTTAGGCACAAAACCAACTGGGTGAGCTTAGGCCAGTCACTATCTCTCAGCTCCAGGAAGAAGACAATGGCAAACCACTTCTGAAATCTTGCCAAGAAAACTGCAAGGACTTGTCCAAGAAGTCACCAGGAGTCAATACTGGCTCGAAATCATCATCATCATCATCATCATCATCATCATCAATCATGGCTCACAAGCAAGAACACGGCTGAGCTGAAATCTGAACCATGGAGTAACACCTCACAACGGCCACCAACATGGTAAACCATGCTTAAGCCAGGTAAGGGTCAGTCAAGGACCAAACAAATGGTGCATTCTAAGTGCTTGTGCTGAGCTTACATCTTGGGTGTAAGGAGTCGAAATGCTTGGCAAAGAACTAACCTCTAGGGGTCCGGGTGTGATGGGAGTGATAGAATTGCTCTTCCGGGATCCAATGCGAAACTTGGCCGCTTTGTAGATTTTCCAGTAGACAAAAAGCACCACGCACAGAGGCAGGTAGAAAGCTCCACAGGTCGAGAAGATGGTGTAAGAAGGCTCTCGACTGACTTGGCATTCAGCTTTGCCCTCCGAGTAAGTCTCTCCCCAGCCAAAGAGGAGCGGAGCCAAGGAGATGATAGCAGAGAGCAGCCAGGTCAGAGCAATCATAACATTGGAAATGCGCCGGCGACTCTGCAGCGTGTACTCCAAGTGCCGCGTTATGGACCAGTAGCGATCCAGCGCAATGGCTGTGACGTTCCAGATGCTGGCCGTGCAACACAGCACATCACAAGAGATCCAGATCTGGCAGAGCAACCTCCCCAGCCGCCAGCGACGGCCAGATAGTTCGTGGACCAGGCTGAGGGGCATCACCAGGGCAGCCACCATCACATCGGAGATGGCCATGGAGGCTACCAAGTTATGGGGCACCCTGTGGAAGGTACGCACCCGCAAGATGGTGGCCAGCACCAGCAGGTTCCAAAGGAAGGTGGCAACTCCCAACATTGCCAGCAAAGTCAAGACGAGGACGCTAAAGACGGACAAGGGTTTACCCAGGCCAGGGGGGCTGGCCAGGAGGCCAGAATCGGTCCAGTTGGGCTCTGCCAAAGTGGTGGCAGAGAAACAGGTGAAGTTGGCAGACCGGTCCATCCTGCAGGGATGAATGGAGAAGATCTGCAGGTGATGAAGACAGACTGGGAGGTTTCTTCTAATGTTAATGTCCTACAATAATATCCCCAATAGCATAGTTAAAAGGGAAGTTGTGGGGGGGCACACCTTATTTTAGAAGCCGGTGCTCTGCCATGTGCCTGGCTCCTGCAGCGTCAACACAGCAGTTGTAAGCATGAATTGCCCCAAGGCTGTGGCCACAAGTAATCCTAAAGCCATGTTGGAATTTCTGCCCCTGTCAACTGCAGGAAGAAAAAAAGTAGCCAGATTAATAAGGAGAGACCTTCCGTCTGAAATTGCCCTGCCTGTTTGTCTACGGCGCTCTTGCAACATCAGAAAATCAGATTAAACACAGTTCCGCTAATGTTTTCATATGCAAACAGAAAGGTGGAACCAAGACATTCTCAACAGTATTGCTAGCTAGAAGAATATCCATCACCCCCAAGCAGGAATCCTGATTCTGTAGCTCTCAAACCAATCCTATTGCCGCATAGCTGTCAGTGATGAGTGAGGCTAAACAGGATTGATGCCAGCAGGAGAAGGTGATGCCCCAAAGCTAAGGAGAGTTGGATCTGGTGAATACCTGGATGGGAGATCACTATAAACCCCAAGTGGGCCAGCAAGATTGGGAAGTTAAAAAAAAAAATCTCAGAAAAATGCTATAACAAACCACCTCCCTGCTGCTGCCCAAAAGGTGGATGAACCTACATGTAATGTCACCACGAGTCAAGCTCAACATGAGGGGGAATTAAGCCATAGCAAGTGGAAGCATCTAGCTGGCCCCTGCTGAGATCTCCAAAGCTAAGTAGGGCCTGACCTGGTTAATATTTGGATGGGAGGCTACCAGGACATCCTGGGGAATGTGTAATTCTTCACCAGTAAGGAATAATGGAAGGGAAAAGCAAAATAGCGAAATAACACAACTCCTTACATAAAGCTAAGTCCCAGAAGATGCAATCAAAACATAGATCCTACCCCCTCACACCTTCCCAGACAATATTTCAAGAACACATTTAAAATAAAACCTTTCAGGTTTGTAAAAATCACAGGGGCAGCAACGCTGTTTGTGACAATAACAGTCCATCTGCTTAGGGACTATTGTTTTAATTAACTTATGCTAAATCAAGGAACACAAGGAAAGCCTAAATGCACACAATCATATTAATTGAGCAACATTAGCTTCACATTTAACCATCATCCTGATAAAGAGGGAAAAGAACAAGGCAGCCACAGGAGGACAATAACAGTCCATCTGCTTAGGGACTATTGTTTTAATTAACTTATGCTAAATCAAGGAACACAAGGAAAGCCTAAATGCACACAATCATATTAATTGAGCAACATTAGCTTCACATTTAACCATCATCCTGATAAAGAGGGAAAAGAACAAGGCAGCCACAGGAGGACCCTGGTTTCATGATGGCCTGGAGTGTGGTGGGATAGGAGTGGGGTGGGGGGGCAGGATCATTCAAGGGAAAAGGGTCTCCCTGAAAAACCAACAGAGCTTCCATTCTTGGATACAGGGAGCTTCCTTGGAAGCAAGGCGTGGAAGACGTTTCGTCTTGCAGCCGCCTTCCCCTTCGGACTTCCCATCTAGCCTGCAGATCTGACTTTCCTTGTGGTCTCCCATCCAAGCACTAGCCTGGCCGGTCCAGCTCAGCTTCAGGTTCAGAGATCGTAGGCGATCTCCTCAAGCGATCTCCTCCTCTGCCAGCCCTTCCCAGGGGTGCCTCGCGAAAAGCAGACCCTCCGAGCAAAGGAATGGGATTCACCTCTGCCCGAGCGCAAACGCACTTCTGGCACTTGGAAGACGGAGAGGTGGGCGGGCCTCTCCCATTCGGAATCCACGGAGGAAGGGGGGTCCGGCCCGGACAACAGCTGGATCCGGACCTTCTGGGAACGTACGCTGGCTCCCGCCGCCAAAGCGGAGCCACCCGCCTCAGC